CAAGACCAAGTCAAAATGAATGAGACCAAAATATATCACCATTCGGAGTTTCCTGGCATGAGATTGCATAAAGTGTATTAGAATCGGAGTTTTTGGTGTTTAATCGAAACCTGCCAGATCGTCCTTGGCGCGACGGGTACGAAATCTCAACCGGTGAGAAGAATGCCTAACTCTACAGACCATCGGAAGCTGAGGGGATTAGGCAACCATGGGTTAAAGGCGTCTCGGTAGCTCCTTGTCAATCAAGAAAAACTATTTCGAATGTGCAAAAAAGGACAGTGACTCGAAAATGGCTGGCACCATACATGAGGAAATTTGAAAATTCTGGGACTTGGGAAGAGAGAAGATGTCAAGCCCGAGAGGACTGAGGCGGAGCAGAAGGCATTGCCATATGTTGAAGATACCTGGAGAATCATATACCCACCCCCCTTACATAATGGCCATGAGAAAGATAATTTGAGAATCCCTCTAGATCCGTCTTCATCTTCGAGCACGCATGTGTAATATGGGAATTTCGAGTAAAATGTTTCGGATGGGCATCTGGCAGGGGTCATCCACTGCGCCGGACTAAAAGTTCCTGTTGTATGTGTCATGGCATTTGCTGCAGTTTCATATATTCAGGTTTCTAGGTGAGGGGCAAGTCTTACAGGCGCTAGGCTACAACAATGATGTGGCTTGTTGAGACCCTCGTGACGACTTTGTGAATCTCGATCGACCAGCCAAGCAACGGGCAGACGGGGCTTTCGTCAGCTTTTGTCAATGCTATGACGACCGGATTGCTAGTGATTCGCCGGGAGCCATCCGTCCTTGGAAAGTTACAATTTGGCGAGCCATTCGCTCACATTAGAGGAGCATTTTCATAATGGTACTGATTGGCAAACCAAAGTGATGGACCAAGATGTACCTAATCGAGTTTCGCATGCATGTGTCCTAAAGGCACGGTGTGTGATTCGTCACTCCTGATCAAACAAATGCGGTTATTCACTGGAGAAGAAGTGCTAGTTCCTTACCTAATAACAATAAGTGACCGAACCTGACTACCTGTCTCAAATATTCCCGGGTGTTTCTATGACCTGGGAGCTACTCCTTGCGAGGTACGAAGATGAAGAGACTTGAAATAATAAGACCAATTGTTGCAACTGCTCGCCCTACAAGATTTAACCCCTCTCCAGTTGTTGCTGAAAAGAACTACAGGTTCCTTCTACAGTATTAAATGTAGGACTTGTATGAGCTAGTGCTGCACTGAGATCCCGCCACTGGTCAGTAGAGGGGACGCAAGAGGGGCAAACAACGTCACTCAATACCCCACGAACTACGCCTAGTGGACAATTAGCACCCTGCAAGAGCTGCATTTGGAGCTAACCCCACAGCCATCGTCGTCCAAACAAGCATTGACTTAGATTCATCTTAGTTAGGTCCTTTGTCCTCCCCCAGAATCCTTCCGTACATGTATTTCTGAATACATTGGTTTCGAATTCTAGTCCTTCTTTCTTTCCTCCTCCTCCATTCCTAGCCAATCCTCACTTGGACTCAGGGAACTAAAGAGATCCAGCAATCACATAGCACCATGGAGAGAGTTCACCACAGTATGTCTCTCTTGTTACCCAAGTTGATAGACCTTTAGTTGTCCTGCTAACACTTCTAACCATTCAGTCAACCCTTTCGCCAAGCGCGATTCGCATTCAAAAAACACCTTGATCACCTACAAGATCTTGACCACTCTGACTTGGATCTTGTCTGTAGTCAGCTCCTTCTATTACACTTACCATAGCCCCGATGACGGTGTTTGGCCGCGGCATCGAATTTGGAAGCAGAATGACCTCTACCTTACTGCCTTCCGAATGAACCACATCATCGCCAGCATTTACTGGTAAGACTACTTGAAAGCGTATCAGAAGCCATGAAGACAAGGCTGTGGCCGCTAACTTGTTCACCAGGATCGTCCTTTTCGTACTCCAGGCCGGCTATATTATCCATCTCTTCTCCGGCAATGTGGAACGCGTGAACGCTGCCTGTGCCGTTGGCGGCCATTTCATCCTCAATAATCTCTTCCACTTTGCCTTCATCATGCTCTTCGTTCGCTCCCTTTTCGGTTGGGCGGAGCTTATTGTCATCCTGAACTTCATCAACCTGTCGTCTCTGTACTTCCGGCACCCTGCCTATGCTCGTTTCATTCATTTACCGGTTGTTTCTGGTCCACTTGCCTGGACGTTCGTTGCAATCTATTGGAATGGTGCTATCATGGTGACAAATCCCGAGACACTCGCTGCCCGTATCGTTGGCAATATCTTTATCTGGAGCATCCTAGTATATGGACTGTTCTTCATTATCATCTACAAGGTACGCAGTTCCCGGGTACAGACCTCATGTAATTTTGTAAACTAACTTGAAGCCAGGATTACACGATGGGATTCAATCTTACAGTCCTCTCAGCCGCCATCGGTGTTGCCCAGTTCCTCCGACAAGTTATCGCTCTGCAGTGGATCTTTGCTTTCATCATCATGGCTTTACTGTTTGTTGCCACTTTAGTCATTGCAGTGCCAGCCGCAACCGGGAGGGGAGTGGGATTCACAAGGGCATCGGACGGCGAGGCCGAGAGAGCTCCTCTCCTGGCAGACAACTAAGAAAATTCACGAGATGGATCTGGTGCTGCTATACAGAAGGAATCGAGTCAAGAATGGAAATCAGAGTATCTGATCCACGTGGTTGTTAATGAAGTGGACAGTCATAGTTTGAGGGCGAAACACGACGGTGTTAGCTACCTCTTAGTACGTGGTAAGTATAACTGTTACCGGGTTGATTTACAGGCATGTTGGTATGTGAAAGGAAGCGGTTATTTGGTCACCAAGAAAAGCCCCAGACGAGGTGATTGATTGCAATACATACCATTACCACATGTCAATTAATATAATCCGTAGCTGGAGTTGTCCTTTTTCTATCCATTTTCGGAGGTTTAATCAAGTGATGGAGTTCTGGGGTAGCCATGGGTGTTGAGGAGCAATTAGAGGCTAATCGATAAGAAACGCGTACTAGATTTACAGGGCGCGTCATTCGGACTTCCAATTTATTGGTACAAGAAACATTCAAATCTGTGCTTCACCGTAATTGTTTGCTTCAGTTCCGAACGCATCTTCCAAACTCACTTAGGTGATCTTCTTATAAGTGATGAAACCATGAAGCCATTCGCCATACGGATGCCAACATTGATTGGAAATGACATTTGTGAAATGCTGAGGATCAAGAAAATCTTAAGCTACCCTCCACGAGGTCGACAATTCATTAAGCGTATCCTAAACCCAAACGAGCTGGAAAACTTCAAAACAAAGCAGATCCTGAGCTGCATTTTAAACCCAGGTCCTGATGGCCTAGATGAATCAACTCCTCAATTTAGTAGAGCGGTTGAATTCATGGCTGGGAGGTAAGACAAGTCAAGAGTCCCTTTTCCTTACTTAGGGCCGGTCATGACGAGCTCACACTTAGTGTACCTCTTCTAGATTTGCAGCCAAAGAGGCAGTGATCAAGGCACACCCTTTCTCAGGGTTGACATTTCAGGGCATCACGCTTATCAGGACTAGCACTCCTAAAATAATGGTTGACTCGCCGGCGAAGACCGGCCCGGTGCTTGCGATGTTTTTCCAAAATAAGCTGCGAACCCATGCACCTATAAGTATCAGCCACGAGAAAGACTATGCGACTGCTGTTTGCCTAGGTACGAACCAGCAAATACTAGAGGTAGAACCCGATGAGCCACCTACGACTGCGGACGGACCTTCACCTTTGAAGCTACCCAAACGAAGAAAGGCCGCTTCACCTTTAGGGATAGCTACGTCGGAAGAGCCACCGCCACACGTGCGGACAACGACACCAGCAGACCGAGATAAAACTGAGATGGACTTAGGGCCCAAAGAGTTTGAGAGAAAGACTATCACTGGTTGGTTTAACGATTCGCCATAACGGCAATCCTAGTACCGTTAATGGCATATGGTTGAAATGGATCTAACGGCACTGAGAGCTTTTGTCTTCCAAGCAATGATCTCTTGAACGAACAGTCAACCCTGAAGTATGCGGTAAAGCCAATTCAGGAAAGAGGAAGCTTAACTCCACAGACGGACACTCTTTGTCTGCAAATATGGCGGAGAGAATTCTGAAGGGCATTCCCAGCTTCTTTGGGACCTGACATGCTGGGCGATGGTCGACTGCCAGTTCAGCGATGCGTCCAGAACCTCCATACTCACGAGCTACTGCTGTAACAATCAAATACCTCGAGCAGCAGAGTGACATGCCCACGAATTGATTGGCCTTGACCGCGAATCCTACATCATTATATGTAGTATATTACTGCAGGCCTACAAATACCCGCTCCTCTAGGGAATACTAGTTCTTGCAGAAAGAAGAGATTGTGCCTCTGGCCTTTACATTAACGATCCTGGGCTGTCCTTCGTGAGTGCGCCATATACCTCAAGAGGTGGACGGCTGCACTGGTACCTACCTAAGTTCCTAATACAGTTTAAGTGCGAACAAGATGATGATAACTGGCAGGTACCTAACCTACCTCCTCTGGAATACGTGTACTCAGTCCAGGTTTGCCTCTGGAATACTGTGGCAAGGTCTACTAGTCGTTCACTCCGCAGTAGGCCCTGGGGAATATCAGACTTATACCATAAGACATACTCTGTCTTTCTACTTCAGTGAATATTTCTGTATTGTCCAATGTGCCTAGGGAGCCCTAGCGAGTAGTTACCAACAGTGTGTGGGACCAAAAGGTAAACCGGTATGTACTCAAAAAGATGAACAACTCCAGACACGGCATTTTGACCAAAATGGAGGATTTGAGCGTTTATTATACCGACTAGAGGCATCAGCCTAACTTAGATAGGTAGTATTAAGTTGTCAGAGGCGTTACTAAAAGAATGGGGCAAAATCCATTTTCCGGGGCCATTTCTGGGCTATTTATAACAGTTGTTTTAAGCACGCTCACCCCCTAGAGCTTGAAAAGCTGGGGCTCTTTGGCGCAATGGTAGCGCGTGGTCCTCCTACTTCGTGCGTTTGGTAGCTTACGCTGTGGTTGTGAGACTGAGGTTGTGGGTTCGAGTCCCATGAGGGTCGATTTTTTGAAGTATGGGTGATATTTTTTTGTTTCTAGATATCTATTATGCTATAGATTTGGTAATCCAGCATGCTGGTCTCTTTTTTTGGACAGTTTATATAAGCTATATGTAGATGGGTATTTTATCATTTTGTGGTTTATTGATATGCCGGGTTATGTATTGGGTGGGTGGTGGAGACAGAAAATGCAAGAGCTTGGAGCTACTAGTGGATTGGATGCCAAGGCGTACAACCCACTCCGCTTCGCTTCGTGGGCTTCATAACCCCGGGACACTTCAAAACCCGCGGGATACTTAATTGTATGTAAAATCTCAGTTAATACACCAAAACCAACTTAATAACTACTGCACTTACGGCTATAAATCCAAGCCGATAATATTTGTATTGACGAGGCGAATTTTGTTAATTTAATTGTATAGCCATAAGTATAATAATTATTAAGTTAGCCTTTGTTATATTTTGTTATATTTTATTATATTATAAAGCTGATTTATAAATCTGATTTTATATAAAAAAATGACCTTTTTTGATTAAATTTAATAATTATTATATTTATAGCTATATGATTAAATTAACAAAATTCGCCTCGTTAATATAAATATTATCGATTTAGTTTTATAGCCGTAAATATAGTAGTTATTAAATTATCGTAGAATATTAACTGAGTTAGTTTTATTTTGTATGGCAACTCTATATAAAATGAAGTGTCCCGCGGGTTTTGAAGTGTCCCGGGGTTATGAAGCCCACGAAGCGAAGCGGAGTGGGTTGCATGGCTTGGCACTACAACCCACTAGTACTATCATCGCGAAATTCAAGGGCTCTACGGCGTAACTGTCGTTGTTAGATACCTCCAAAGCCAATACTTCCACTGATCCACCTGTACATCTGTCGTTGTTACTACCTAACCTTTTTTCTGTATGTCTGTCGCATAACCCATAATGAGAGTCTCATGCTACCACTAGGTAGCCCACAATCGGCTCGTTGCCGCGGAATACCTTAGGTAGGCAATCAATCATAGGCATTCATTGTCCGAGTAACCGTTTGTCGCCATGGCTACAGACGGCGAGCTGCCCAAGCGGCAGATGACACCAGTGCCCGTGCCTGCTCTTCCAGCGACCTCTCTGCCACAGAAGAGAGCTCTTGAGGACGACCACGCACCTCCCGTATCGTCGCCTCTCAATCCCACACCCAAGCCCCAATCAAATGACGACACTGCCGCAGCCATGGCCCGAGACAAACCAGCGCGCGTGAAGAAGGACACACTCAAGAAGCGAGAGTCCAAGGGCGGCGCCACTGCTACTGGGCCTGATAGTTCCAGAGCTACCCCCGACCCAAAGACCAAGGAAGGCATTCCAAACGAGGCATCGCCATTGCGCTATAAGCTCGCGCCTCCCAAGCCCTCAGATTTCGATCCCGCGCGAGGTCCCGTCTTCACCCATCACCACGATGTTCCCTCCCTCGATGGTTCTGCAGTCCATTTTTATGAGACATCAGAGCAGTGAGTGCCTCCTCAAGCTGAAGTACTTTGCACATACAACTACTAACCATCCTTCCACTAGTGTCTACAACAAGAAGAACTACCACTACCTGCATTGCATCGCCGACCCAGCTTTCCCCTCCTCCTTCTACTACCGCCAGACCGAGCCCGAGCCACACTGTCCACATATCAGCTTCGAAGACGCCTCTACACAGATGTACTTCGATCAATCAGGAACCCATATAACCACAGACAAGGGTTTCAGAATGGCAAGAGCCAACGTCGCCGTACGTGAGGGCACATGGTACTGGGAATGCAAGATCACTAGAGGAATACTCGACGGCACCAACGGCACGACGAATGCTAAAGCCGGAGAGCAGACTAGCGGTCCGTTACCGCATGTGCGCATGGGTTTCGCCAGACGAGAGGCTTCCCTGGACGCTCCTGTGGGATTCGATGCCTATAGCTACGGATTTCGCGACGCGGCCGGCCAGAAAGTGCACATGTCGCGGCCCAAAGACTTCTTTCCTCCCGGCGAAGACATGAAAGAGGGCGACGTAATAGGACTCGAGATCCGCCTTCCTTCCGAATACCTTCACAAAAAGGTCGTCCAAGGACAGTATAACCCCGCCGTCGACCTTCTGAACGAGGAGGATGATACCACGAGTATCGAGGCGACCAACATCGTTCGAGACCGCATCCCCATCCGATTCAAGGCGCACATTTACTTTGAGAAGATCGATTACCACACAAGCAAAGAGCTCGAAGACCTCATGAACCCTTCCCCAATGGCATCATCGGGGCAGACCGGCACAAGAGCAGGAGAGGGCCCGAACCCGAATCACCAGACGCCGGCTTTACGCACACTACCTAACTCCTATATCAAGGTCTACAAGAACGGCGTGCTTATGGGCACACCATTCACCGACCTCCTCGCCTTTCTCCCTCCCGCATCAAAACCACAGGCTCAGGTTGGCGCACGAGAAGGCATGGATGACGGCATGCTGGGGTACTACCCCGCCATCAGCGTCTTCCGAGGTGGCGCAGCAGAGGTCAACTTCGGGCCTGACTTCTGGTATCCTCCCCCCGGATTTACTCCATCATCCAACCATCATGTCTCGAGTCACAACCACAACGACAACGACGTGGAGATGGCAGACGAAGACACAGTCCGTGTAGGGGGCGTCCCCTCCCGGCGGAAGAAAGAAGTCGAGCGCATCCGGGCCATCGCCGAGCGCTACGACGAGCAGATCGTCGAGGACGTCGTCGCGGATCTTGTGGACGAGGTTGATTTCTGGATGCAGGATGGCGCGCGCGTGCTCGATCGGACGGGCGGACGGGACGATAAGGCTGAGCTTGCTGTTGGGCTCGCGCCTGCTAGTGGGGAAATTAAGGAGCTTGTGCAGGATGATTGAGCCCTGGTGAAAACAGGAATGGAACGGGCTTTGTCCTCCCGTTTTGCGATTCACGTCCACTTCTGGGAAAGGGACTGTGCCGCGTCTAGGCCGCGAAGATTTAAATGCATCTTAGGGTTTATGCTCACTTGCGAAATGACCTGGGGCTTGGCTATAATGCCGGACTAGTCTGATACGACACCTACCTATTACCTATATACTGGTGGCATATAGCTAACGACCTGAGTCATATACTCGGAAAGACCGAGTATCAAATTCTCGTGAGGGTCGGGCAGTGTATGGGAATCTGCCTGGCTTCTATATGGTTTGCAAAGTCTCGATCGAGGATGGATGTTCCTACTAGGTAGACCAAGATAATGGTCACGACAAATACCTAATACTCCTAGCTGGCGGACAGGACGTCAAGTCATCCTCGCTCTGACGAAGATGAAATCTCATACATGTTAGATAAGAGAGATAGCCAACCAAATAAAAGAAGCTGTGAAAGCGCTCTACATGAACAAAAAGGTATTACGAGCCGTCGTTCCCTTGTGGTGAAATTTAGTGACTTACACAATAGAGTTCTCGGCGCTATGCTATGTTGTTTCCCACGATACTGACTGATTGACACTTGGACGACCATAAATCACAGTATGACGGATGTATGAGATGTTCATCACTAGCTACCTAACGTAGGAATTCGTTAATCATCCTCGCAAACAGTACGAGCGTCGTCTATAGAGAATACGTCAAGGTAGAGAAAACGCTCGCTCAAAGTGAAAGTCGTCATGGATATTCTCAAGTTCTCTCCTCCCCCAGCTGAAGACCAACAAATCCATGCATGGTATATTAACCCCGTTTCCCTTTTATCACTTACCACCGCAAACATCAATTACTCATTAAATAGAAGGAATAGGGTAGTTTTGCCCTCGCCGTGATCCCATCTTTGAAAACCGCCTTTCTCGTTCGTTCATCATTATGTTTTTTCCTTCATTTTGCAGTCTCAACCTTCGTCGCAGACGAAGTCACTTCTCCCTCCTCCTTCGCACTGGGCTCAGGAGCAGTAGCAGACGGTAACTGCGGATCATCAGGCAGCTCTTCAACTCGGGGCTTCCCATCAATCATCTCATCCCCATCCTCCTTCTCCTTCTCACCCTCGCCCCCTTTCGCCTTCCCAGCCTCCGTAGCCTCCCTCTCCAGCCTGACCTCGCGCCCCCGCTTATGGCAGTACCAAAGTGCCGAGAGCAGCAAGAAAACCGCCAGGCTCCAAAGCACATTCGTGCCGACGAAGGCGGGGAATCGCGTCTTGAGAGCGTTGACAATACCCTTCAGTAACCCCACCACAGCGCCGGGTTTCGTGACCAATTCCTTCAGATTCCCTGGTGTCAAGTACTTCTTCGCCGCGCCCTTGAGCCCGGCCCCTTCCGCCTCGACGCTCGCTAGGCCCTGCGCCTCGGCCGCGGCGACGAGGAGCTCGGGCGCCAGCGAGCCGGTGAGTTTCTCGGGCAACTGCGCGACGAGCTTCTTCAGGCCCTTGGGCAGCTTCTCGTAGTTGCGCGCGAGGATGCCGTCGCGGTCCTCGAGCAGCTTGACGAGGTCGCCGTAGGCGGTCGGCACGCCATTGACGAGATCCTTGAGGACTTGCGTGAAATTCTTCACCATGGCCGCGGACTCGGACGATAGGGAGAAGGCGCGGTTGTTCTGCGCCGCCAGATCTAGATCGTCGAGGACGCGCGCCATCTCGTCTTTCTCGTGCTTGGCTTCTGAGGAGGAGGAGGGCACGGCGAGGTGGTCCGGGTCCGGCTTGAGACCGGCTTTGTTGGCTTTGACGTTGCCGCTGCGCTTGGTGATGTTTCGCGATAGGGTGGTGACGAAGGAGAAGCGTTTGGATTTGTTGTTCTCTTCTTTCTTGTCTTTGCCTTTCTCTTTCTCTTTCTCCTTGCCCTTTCCCTTTCCCTTTGCGTCTGTATCCCCCTTGCTCACTGTACTCGCAGCGTCGTCGCTATCTTCTAGCTCGAAGACGGGGGTCTTCACCCGCGGGGGTAGAGGGGGTGGTGGGCCTTCAGCATCTTCGTCGCCTTCGAGACTGAGGTCGGGAGAGGTCAGTCGTTCGAGGAACTTCTCGTCGT